TAGGGAAATCAAAAACAAAATATACTATTGAAAAGAGCACTCGTTATATTGCAAAACATCATCATGAAATATTTTTTGTTCTATTCTCTTCTGACATAAAACAAAAAAATTCACACGAAATAATGTTATTCGAAGATGAAGTTGCAAAATCTTTTTATATTTTGACACTTCTCAGATTCGTTTAGGAAAAACTGCTATTTTGATATAAAATTTGTAGCTAACATTAAAAACAAAACATTCTGATGTATTTTAAAATCAGTAATATGATCTAATAGGGATTGAAATCCTTTGTATTGCGTGATGTAATTTCATATGAAAATATTTTATTTTCAATAGATTTCAATGAGTGATGAAGGTCGTGCATTACGTCGTAAACAACAAGAAAATGTTCGTGAATTACGATCAAAATTAGTTGATGCTGGCCTTCCAGTAATAATGTCACCAAGCCATATTATACCAATTCATGTATAAAAATAACTTTTAATTCAAATAAGTTATTTGTTTATTTTTTTGCTTTTATGTTAGGTGGGTAATGCAGCACTAGCTACATTATTATGTAATCATTTACTTGATCGTTATTCAATTTATATTCAATCGATTAATTATCCAACTGTTCAACGAGGAACAGAACGTTTAAGAATTGCTGCTACACCTTATCATACAAGTGAAATGATCGATCAATTAGTAGATGCATTAACACATGTTTGGAAAGATGTTGGTCTTGCATTAAAAAGTGTTGCACAACCACAACAGCAACAACCAATAGCCTTGAGACATCATGCTTAAAAGAAAAGATTGACAAGAAAGACATATTTTTGCTCATTCTTTTTTCTTACTTAATCACTTATCTTTTTTATTGCCTCATTATCTATTCTTTTTTTAAACAATTTCAGTGAGAAAAGTGTTACTTCTATGTACATGCCTCGCATAGGTCCTTTAGTTTGAATTTTTTCTGATTTTTTAGTTTTATTTCTTGTCCTTCTCTTTTAATATGAAAGTTTTTATTATAGTTTTTTTCTATTCTTTCTTTTTAATTGCACATGTGTGGCGATTTTAGTTTTTTCCTTAGGTTTTTTTAATCCCTTGAGATATATAAAAAAAACAAAGACACCGGAAAATTGTTTTTTGTTTTATTCTTTTATTGCGTCGATTTTTATCATTTTTAAAGTAGCATGATACTAAGTTAAATATCATGGATTGAATGCGAAATAAACGCACTTTGATCTTTTGAATATTATTGCCATACTTAAGGATATTTTTATCGAATTGTCTACTATTATACGCTGAGTTGAAATACGATCGTATATGATTACCACATATGCGAAACGGAAAAAATATAATCCTAATTTGCATCAACGATAGCTAATCTGCACGTCTTATTTCAGGTATATATAAGAAAGTAAAAAAAAAAA